GTGCGCGCGCATAACCGCGCCGGTGGTCAGCCAGCTGCTAACCGCCCGGCCGCAGTGAGCCGACGGTCCGGCCAGCCTATAAACCGGACGATTCAGACCGGTTACTTGAGCAGTTCAGGACTCAGTGACCCGGTCCGAGTTCAGTACAGTATTTTAGTTAATTTTTCAAACCAGTCAGTTCAGTATAGTACCAGTTCAGTCCCGTTTTTCTTGTCAGTCAAGTAAGACCCTGAGATTATTCCAGTTAAATATTTAGATCGAGTCGAGTATCTTAACAGCTATTTTCAGTCAGTCTGAGCATAGTACTATTTGTTTATTTATATATTTGTTTTCAGTTTGATCAGCAGCAGCACTTACAATTTCAACTAGCAGTTCAGGTGGGGACTCAGACTAAGTATTACATTGAGTATAATTACAGTTATCATGTTCAAGGTATGTATATTCAGTTCCTGCTCAGTGAGGCTAGACAAAGTAAGACCATCTGAGTTCTAGTGGCGTAATCTGCCCACTAGAGTGTACACATAGGCGCGGCGCATTATATTATAGCCGCCAAATACATCATTCAATCCCGTAGCAGATACGGTTGATCGCAGTCACAGTACATGATATGAAAGTTTCAGTTATATATACTATTAATCATGATATTTCAATTATTTTTACTTTTTTACTTTAGTATGAGTTTCTGCGGAGCACAGTGGCTTTTAGTACTCACGCCCCCACGATATTATTTTTTTTTTCAGGTCACATGGTCGGTCCTGAGGAGTGAACGGAGTTGGTGGTCGTGGGTTTGTTTATATGCCTGTTTTACAGACTTTTGGATATGTATATAATTATTTTGCCACGTTTTGAACTTCCGCTGACACTTTCAGGTTTTCGAACTCGCATGTTAATATTCAGATTTTGTTAGTCAGATCTTATACAGTTTTACATGCTTGTTTAACTAAAGATATTCTGTTTTTCTTAATAACCTTAATTTGGAACTAATAACAGATTTTTAGAAAAGAAATGTTTATCAGTAGCATCCCGAATCATGAATTCGCAAATTAATG